CATTACATTCATCTACCAAATTCACATGATCAAACCAAGCGCCTCATCTTTGAATCCTAAATTCCGTGTTCTATCAATAAAATGTTCCCCACTTGTCAAAGCAAGAAATCTCAAAGCTATTTTTTTGGTATCCCCTTCTTCACCTTCTCAATCCTTTTGACTTTTCCTCTGTCTCTCATTTGTGCCTTCCTTTCTACTGCCTTTTCCATGAAAGTGCCTTCTAAAAGTATATTAATAGCCTATTCCAAAAGAATTGGGGAGACTAGGCTCCTCTAGTACAGATTTACATCCTTAGAAGCCTGAAGGATCACTGTCAGTCAGAACTAACTTGAAGGCAGTATGGTTTAGAGATGTAGATGTCCTCCAGCCCAGCCTGACTGCTGTTTCTCTGGAAACTCCCTGTTACATTAGGACAATCTTGACTCTCTAACCTGACATTCTAGACCACTGGAGCCCAATAGACGCTTATTCAATGACAGCATTTTCTATCTGCACTGCCTGCGATGGTAGCCACTAACCACACATGGTTATTCAGCACTTAAGATCTAAGGAATTTATTTAAGGAGGTCTTTATATTCAGATAATCACACTTTATTTATTCCACGGCTCTTTAGTGTCAGTCCTGCACTCCAGGCTCCTCATGTCCTCTAGACCCCACCCTGATTCTCAGCTCTGGGCAGCTGCTTCCTCCTGGCCTCTGGGGTCCTTCTTTCTCCATTCCAGTCCAGGGCTGTTCCTGTCTATCCCATTTCCCACCACTTAGCCTTTTCTAACCCTCTCCTCAACCCATAGTGTTCTCTCTTGCTGCCTCATTTGAACAGAGATAGTGTGTTGACTAGATAATGCATTAAAAAAAATCAGCAACAAACTTTAAGGTGGTTTGGTGTAGTTTTTCCCCATTTCATTTTCTCTTTACTGTTAAATTGTGGTGGTGGTGGTGTTGTTAAGTGCTGTCAGTTTGATTGTAACTCCTAGCGACCCTGTGAACAACAGATCTAAAGCCTGTCCTGTCCTGTGCCGTCTTCACCATCTCTTGACACACTTGAACCACCAAAATAGTACAGATGATTCTGTATATTCTTCACATAGGTTTTCCAAATAGTAACATTTTACCAGGTTTGTTTTGTCTTGTATTTTTTTTCTCTTTATCCTTTCTTCTCTTCCTTTCTGTATTTTTTCCCTCTGTTCCTAATTCTCCTGACTCTTCCCTCCATGCATAAACACACCCATACATGCACACAGAGAGATAATAGATAGATATAGATCTCTCCTTTTTATTGTGCTAAATATGTATGACAAACATGTGTTTTGTTATGAGCAGTTGAAAAGAAATTGCAGTCATGATAACCTAAATATTTCAGTGCATACTCCCATTTTAAAAAGAGCAATCCCTTATAAAACCAGTTTGATGACCAAAAGGAGGAAATGAATATTGATACAATACCATCATCTATAGATAGGAGTTCTGGTGGTCTAGTGGTAAGAAGCTGTGCTACACTCTCTAAGGCTCGTGGTTCGAATCCACCAACTGCCCCATGGGAGAAGAATGGACAATCTCCTCCTGTGCAATTTACTGCCTCCAAAAACCTACTGGAGGGTCAGCTGGTGGTTGGTTCTGACTCAATGGCCCACAACACTAACAACAATCTAAAGTTAGACCTTATTCAGACTTTGCTAGTTGCCCCATAAATATCTTTTATGGCAAAAGGAAAAAGAGATTTTCTGCTAAGCTTCACACCTTGACTTGTAAACTCATGAGGACCAGCTCTGAATTTGTACATTTGTGTCATCTTCTCCTCAATTCTCAGTTTAGTATTATATGCTGACATTTTCTTAGTAATAGGCCCTCAATAAATTTTTGTGAGCTGGCTAGACGGATCAGTAATGATAAAGTGAACTTAGTATAAATAAGCCTCACTCTGGATTTACGTACATGACTAATCTGTCAGCTCTGTAATCTCAGAATGCTGCTGTCAGGGACACCCCACTTTTAACATTCCTTTTGGGGCCTACTAGTTGATAGCAGTGCCTTTTCTATTTTATACATATACAAAGTTCTTCCAAAAGTGTTATAACTATATAACTTACGTGTAGTCACAGAGCAGCTCCATGTCTAAGCCAAGCATGGTGCTGCTTCTCTATAGTCTGCAGGGATGAAGAGCAGCAGCTGAGTAATTGAGTTCATACGAAACCAACACATTCAGCAGCAAATAGTCAGTGCATATCCATAAGAGTGCCAGCCTCACTGGATATACAGCATTAAACAAAATAAAGTGCCTGCCATCAAAAACTTACATTTTATTGGTGGCAAGGGGCTCACAGTAAATAAGTAAGTAAATATAGTTTGTCATGTGGTGATAAATGCCATGGGAAAGAAACAGTGAAGTAGGACAAGGATGATAGGGAGTGTGGGCGTGGAGAGTGGCTATTTTATATAAGGACACGAGGGGAAGTATCATTGACTAAGTGACATTTTTTTCCCTATTTTTTTATATTAAGATATAATTAGCATACAGTAAAATTGATACACTTTTCTGTAAGTTTTTGCAAACATATACAATCGAGTAGTTGATCAAATAAAAATATATTTTTGTCCTATCAAAATACCTCCCCACGCCCCCTGATAGTCACCCTCATCCCCTACTCCAAGTATGTTGTTGTTGTTGTTGTTTTGTTGTTGTTAGGTGCCGTAGAGTCATAGACGACTCATAGCAACTCTATGAACGAAAGGCCTGAGCCCTGTTCATAGAGTTTCCAGAGGCAAGCTATTTCGGAAGTGGATGCCACTCCTGCTTCCAAGCTTGTTTTAATTGGAAAGCTCCAGCAAACACTGTCCGCCATGAGTAACCATTATCACATTTGTTACATCAGTGTCACAGTGTTCAGCATCACAGCAATCACAAGTTACCTCTGTACAGCAAATGGACCAATGCTATACCACCTAGAAGAATGTTTGACAAAAAGCAATTTAGACCAGGCCTGAGGGCCGCAGATTAAATCCACCCACCTTGGGCTTGGTAGCATAACTTTCTGTCCACAAAGCCAATGTAGCTCTCACGTTATTGTTGTTGTTGTTGTTAGGTGCCGTCGAGTTGTAGACGACTCATAGCGACCCTATGAACGAAACTGTTCATAGGGTCTCCAGAGGCAAGCCATTTCTGAAGTGGAGGCCGCTCCTGCTGCCAAGCTTGTTTTAATCAGGAAGCTGCACACAACTCCAAATAGAACAACCACTAATATGTTCTTGGCCCTTTCCTATCATGTCATGTAGATGGAATTACATGGTATGGAGCCTTTTAAGTCTAGCATCTGTTGGTATGATGTATTTACAGTTCATCCTCATTGCATATATCACTTATTTGATCCTTCTCGCACAGTAGGATTCCACTCTGTGCATGTGCTGCAGTTCACCCATCCATCCATTTACTAGCTGAGAGCCATTTGAGTGACTTCCTGTTTGGGACAATTCATTACAAATGAAGCCACTATAAATATTGGTGTGTAGGTATATGTGTATGTGTGTTTTCACATGTTTTATTCCCCCTTGGCAACATAGGTTATATGACTTTTGAGTGAAATCCTGAAAGAAGTGAGAAAACAAACCATAGAGTTCACTGAGGCTGTTTTTCATGGCCACCAAATTGTTGTTCAAATAGGTTTGGGCTGAAAAACTAGGCTTTTGAGTCATTTTTTGTTGTTTGAGTTATTTAGAAAAAGTGGGGTCAAGAGAGAAAAGAGACTGCTGGTTGGATGGTTCATTCAGTCATTTCCCCACAAGAAGCAGAAGAAAATGAAAGCAGACGGTTCACCATCTGTGATCCAAAGAAAGTAAAGACTCTTGGCCCCAAAATGGCTAATTTTAGTCCGTTTATCTGACATAATTTCCTTTCTGTGTCTCTGGAAAGTTAGTGTGAGAGTTTGAGGATTATATCATTCAGGGCTTAAGCAGAGGGGGATGTGTGTGTGTGTGTGTGTGTGTGTGTGTGTTAAGATTGCCACTCCTTCTCCAGCGGATCATCTGGTGGATTCGAAGTGCACATCTTAGGGATTGCAATGCAGTTTCTTGCCACAGGGCCACCAAAGCTCCCTGGGCTTAAGCATTTTTTATTTTTATTTTAAATTGATTTTAATGACAGTCTACAGAGACTTTGGATTGCCATTCATTCATTGTTGCACTTTTCTCCCTGCCCACCTCTCCCACCCCCCATTCGCTTTTCTTTTTGAAAAATAAAAGAAAAGATTCTTTCATTGTTATTCAATCCCTCCCCCCAAGTCCACTCCACTATGCTACCTTTGTTCTGGACTCCTGTCATAACAATAATATCTAATCATATATCCCTTTTAAACAGTCCTCTTCCTCATCTGTTTAATGCGGTGTACATTATCTATCACATCTTTTTCAGTCTCCCCCAACCCCTATGTCAGTCATGTTTTATAACAGTGGCATTAAACTATATTTGTCTTTCTGTGACTGAGATATTTCACTCAACATAATGTCCTCCAGGGTCACCCATTTTGTGTACTATTTCATGAGTTCCTTGTTTTTCAATGCAGCATAGTATTCCATTGTGTGAATATACCACAGCTTCTCTATCCATTCATTTGTTATGGGGCACTTGGATTGTTTCCAACTCTTTGCTATTGTGAACAAAGCTGAAATAAACATAGGTGTGCATGTATCTGTTTGGGTCGCAGTTATCGTTTCTTTAGGGTATATTCCCAGTAGTGGAATTGCTGGGTCAAATGGTATTTTTGGGCTTAAGCCTTTTTCAAAGTTTTTCTCTTACTGGAGGTTCTAGGAACCTCTCCAGATGTCCCCTTGAGAAGTAATATTTGGTTGTGAAGTTGTCTACTAGAGAAAGCAACAAGATCTCTAGAAAAATATTAGAACGAGGGTTTTCCCTGGATAAGATGGTATATTTCTAGGATTTAACAGCTTTGTGGTGGAAAAAACTCAAACAAAACTAACAGAATATACCTTTTGGATTTCTTTGTTTCAGGTGATGCTACTGTGAAAAAGAAACCTACCCCCAAGACGCCTCCAAAAGCAGGTAATTAGTCACAGCAGCATTTAGAGACAAAAGAGGGATTTTTTTTTCCCTTTACCATGCTAGATCTGCCTCCTGGACATGTGATCCCAGTGGGCTGTCACGTTATCTCTAACTCAAGCTCTGTGTTACTTAGGCCAGATCTGCCGGCCTCCTCATGAGCCTCTACACAACCTCATCCTTCAACCTCTTCGATGACGTCCCTTTTCCCTGTGTTTTTCTCCCCGTGTGGAGAGCACCCCCCCAGGACCAGTTACTTTCTCATCCCTTCTCCAACATTCTACTCAATCCCCCGCCCTCCACTCTGCACCTAATGTGCATGACTATCTCTGTGCTGGTTGAGCGCTCTGTTCCTTATGCCCCTCAGTGGTGTAAGCAGTTCATTCACTCAGCTGTGAACTAAGAAGACAGAGGTTGGGTCCACCCAGAAGCAGCCTGGAAGGAATCAACCATTGAAAACCCATGGAGCACAGCTCTACACTGACACCCATGGGGGTCTCCATGGATCAAAATAGGCTCATTGACAGTAACTTTGCTTTGTTTGTCCTATGGGATCCTTGTTTTCCATTGGAAGAATGTGAGGAGGTGAATTCTGTTGAATCCTTTTTTTTTTTTAATGGAAGAGCCAATGTGTATTAGAGCATCAATTCAAATATTTAGAAAGCACAGTAATCCAGGACTCAGTGTTCAGTTACAGATAAGTGAGGTAAGGATCTGGAATTAGGGAAACAGTTTTCTTCACGATCAAACATACAAAAAAATATGATCAGTGAATTCATATGGGGAAAGAAATGAGATGATCCTGCTAATTAGTCCTTGAAGTGACTTCAAGGATGATAATCTATAATTCAAGAGATATCTGAGTTATGTACTGAAAAATTCTTAGCCGTAAGTAAACATCTTGGGAGAATGGCTCATTGACAATTTTAAGGTGCCACTAGGTTCTATTGAATCTCTTAGCCAGGGTCGCATGAGGTTAGCAAACAAGGCTCAGCTTAATTAGTGAAGGTGTAAGGATGCAGACTGAATAATTAAGACACAAATGCCAGAACCAGCAATAAATGGAGAATGATGCCATGTAAATGGTGTGGTCGTTTTGAAGGGAAATGGAATAAAAAAGTGAATGAACCCAGCAGGCTTGTCAGCTCCAATGATCGGGAGCTGCCCTCATCTTATCCTGAAGCGTCCAGACGTCGAGAGAGGCGCCAGAGGGACCGGCGTGGACACTGGTGTCCAGTGAGCAGAACGCCGGAGCCTCCCACCTCTCCCTCACTTCCTCACTTATTCTCTCTCAGCCATGCCGCCTCAGATCACCCAGTTCCCAGAGGACCAAAAGGTGCGCGCTGGAGAGTCTGTGGAGCTGTTTGGCAAAGTGACAGGCACCCAGCCCATCACCTGTACCTGGATGAAGTTCCGGAAGAAGGTGAGTAACAGAAGGGGTGACCTGAGAACAGCCCGCACAGCCCTCAGCCAAGACAGCAGGGAAGGGCTGTGCTGGAGGGGGCTCAGCTTGAGTCATTCTCCTTAGAAATGAGAGAAACCCCTCACTCTCCTGTCATCCCCCCACCGACTCTGATTTCTTGATAACATTTTCCTCAAAATCTGCAAATTGTCCCTGCTTTGTAGACAATTGATATAACAGAAAGAAATATGATGGAGAAATCATTCAGGGTTCCCCTCTGATTTTGATTTCTCACTCTAGAATTCTACTCAGTGTCAGGAAAATCAAACCAAGTTCCCTGAGATGGTCTGTCATACTTTTTTTCTTTCATAGCTTTCTTTGATTCTCTTTCAGCCTGACAAATGACACGTACCACACACTAAGAGAATAAAAGTGAATCTGAGTATTTAAATAGATAAATTGTCAAATTGATTTTTGGAATATTGGTCCAGAAATCTACCTTGTTGTTGTTGTTTTTATGTGCCGTCGAGTCACCTGAGACTCATAGCGACCCTATGTACAACAGCCCTAAACTCTGCTCTGTCCTGTGCCAATCGCACTGCCTCTGACACTCCCATCTCGATTATCCCAGTCACTGAATCAATCCACCTCATAGAGGGTCTTCCCCTCCTGCGCTGTCCCTCCACCCTCCCAAGCATGATGTCCCTCTCCAAGGACCGGTCTCTCCTCACAACATGTCCAAAGTATCCAGGCCTTTGTGTTGCCCATTAACTTTTGGAAACTAGTGAATGTGGTGTCAAAAAAGGTGTAAATTAAACTCTTTGCAGCCACTTTCTGCCCCTAAATTTGGTTTCATTGGTGTAGGAGCTGCATAAGTTTACAGTTTATGGGAAAAAAAAAAAACCCAACATGTCCAAAGTATGTTAGATGGAGCCTCAGAATCCTTGCCTCCAAGGAGCCATCCGGTTTAACCCTTTCCAGGACGAGTCTGTTTGTTTTCCTAGCAGTCCATGGTATCCTCAATACTCTTCTCCAGCACCACAGCTCAAAGAAATCTACCTACCATTTATAATATATTTCTGAATCTTTGGATTGCCAAGCAATCAGGTTTTAAAGTCATTTGGGGAACATGGCTATTCTATAGAGCACTTATTGGAAGCGTGGTCCTGGGATGGTGGGGCTGACATTGGACCAGGCACTCCAGGTGTGAAGATCACTTCTACGCCCTCTGTTGCTGTTTTCAACCCATTCAAACTGTCCTCAGACCTAGAGGTGGGTGGGTAGTACCAGGAAGGGATAGAGATTTATTTTCAAATCCAGTCATGGATTCTGAGCTACTGAGCTCTGGTGGCCTAGTGACAAGAAGCTGTGCTGCGATCCTGAAGACGCAGTGTTCGAGGCCATTAGCTGCTCCACAGAAGAAGGATGGGCAATCTTCTCCCATACGATTAACTACCTCTGAAAACCCTCCAAGGTGTCAGCTATGGATTGGTTCTGACTCTGCGGTACAACAAAAACAAAAAAGTTATCTGAAATAAGGTGGAATCCTTTTCCCAAGACATTTGACAAAATCCTTGCTCTGCCTAGTGTTCTTATAGAAATGGTCAGGCTGTATACCATCCAGCATGGTTGCCACTAGCCACGCATGGCTGTTGAGCACTTGAAATGTGGCTAGTGCATCTGAGGAACTAAATTTGTCATTTTATGTAATCAAAAATTCCATAAATGCTTTGTTAAGATTGAACTCACATACCATAAAATTCACCCTCCTAAAGTACATAAAGCAGGGGTTTGGGGTACAGCCACAAAGTTTATAACTATTAGTTACTCACTCATTGTCATCGAGAGGGAACAGACCAACAAAGCTGAGCCTCTAGTGGACTTTCAGAGATTGCAAGTCTTACAGGTGGTTTACCAGGAAGGAGTTGCACTGTCAGCCCAAAGGCACACGGTTAAAGCCTCCCAGCCGCTCCATACGAGAAAGGTGGGCAGTCTCCTCCACGTGGCTTACTGCCTCTGAAAAGCCACAGGAGGGTCAGCTAAGGGTCAGTTCAGACTCAATGGTACATAACAATGACAAATCACACAGGAGGAGATTACCCATCTTCTGAAGAGTAGATTCAAACTGCCCTCATTTGGATTGGCAACACAACTCTCTACCTAGCTTTATCTAATTCCAAGACTGTATCATCACCCCCAAAAGAAATCTCATACCCACTAGCAGTCATTCCTCAAATTCCCCTTTCCCCAACCCTGACAATGAATCACTAATTAATTTTCTGTCTCCATAGATTTATCTGTCTTGATGGTTCAAGCGCTAGAACTGTATAATGTCTGGCCTTTGTAATTGGACTTCTTTCGTTTAGCATCATGTTTTCAAGGTTTATCAATCGGCCAATACTTTATTTTTTTTTAATAGCCACATAATATTTCAGTGCCTGAATCTACCACAATGTGTTTATACAGTCATCAGATGATGAACACTTGAGTTATTTTCACCTGTTTAATTAAAACTGAAAGAATCACAATGGCTAGTGGCTAGACATACTTTGAGCATGTTGCTAAGAAGGGTTATTCCTTGGAAAAGGACATCAAGCTTGGAAAGGTGGAGAGGATCAGTGAAAGAGAGGAAGATTCTCAATGAGATGGATTGGCAGAGTGACTGCAACAGTGGACTCAGATGTGTGTTGCAGATGATGAGACTGGCACAGGATAGGTCAGGAGTCAGATCTACTCTTAGTAGGGTCTCTGTGAGCCGAACTTGACTCAAAGGTCCCTAACAATAGCAGTGGCTAGAATATTGGGCAGCGCAGACGAGATGGGGAAACACTTGGATAGATTCTCTAGGTGCCATTGCCTGAACGTGATTTCTTGTAGGCGCATCTTAGAACACTGGAGGGAGACTGAGACACTTTTGACGTCTGGGAGGAGTAAGCGCTGACTTGGTTCATCTACCCTAACCCAGCTGAGACCCTCACTGCCTGCCCAGATCTGGAACCCCTTAGGCAGACTGGACTCTGGGCACCAGAGAGGAGGGACTTGGAAGACCGATAAGACCGAGCCCCATACAGCTCGTCCAGCTGTATCCCCTGTGACACGGGGAGGAGCCTATTCCTTTCCTGACCCAAGTCTCCAATATTTGTACCCAGATCCAGGAGAGCGAGCAAATCAAGGTGGAGAACAGTGAGAGCGGCAGCAAGCTCACCATCCTGGCCGCTCGCCAGGAGCACTGTGGTTGCTACACCCTGCTGGTGGAGAACAAGCTGGGCAGCAGGCAGGCCCAGGTCAACCTCACGGTGGTGGGTGAGTCCAAGGTGGTGGGTGAGTCCAAGGTGGTGGGTGAGTCCGCGGTGGTGGTCTAGTCTGCGGCGGCACGGCACGGAGGCCGGCTTCGGGGAAGGCAGCAAGCCCCAGGCAGGATGCCTGTACCCGAGCAGCTCAGTCCTGGAGTCCGTCTCTGTCAGAACCTCATCCTCTCTGTCTGCAGACTCCTGTGCTCTCAGCTTTCCCTCTCCCTCATTCTGGCTTCCAATGTCCTGTCCTTCATTCTCATCTGACGTTCCCAATCCTAGGCCCACACCTCCAGCTTTTCTTGTGCCTAGGATCCCATCCAGGCTTTTGTTTCTTTCTGTCTGTTGGAGACATGAGCGCCTGTTCTTCAGGCCTGCCTGGCCTCCACCTTCAGTTCCCTCTTCCTGATGCCCACTGCCACCCACACTGTCACGATCCCCTTGCAAAACCTCACACAGAAGCAGTGCTGCCTTTCAACTTCACTGCTCCTGTTCCTGATTTTTGGACACTGTGGCACACAGACTCATTGCTGGGCTGTGGTGACCTCCAGGCTCAACCGAAGCCTCTCTAATGGTTAGATGTCTTCTTCCTTGTCCTTGATCAGATAAGTGTCCTCATCCAATCTCAGTAATAGCTGTTTCTCAACTTCCCCTGACCTGCAGGCCATGACTTCTAGCTTCTCTGAGAGGTGTGGACGAACCAGTGCACAGTGTTCCAAAAGCGGTAGGAATTCTCTGCCTGGAAAATGAGGCTGTAGGCAAGAATTCGCTAAGTGTGCCCCACACAGCCTGAAGGATCCAACCCCGACTTCTTCCAGGCTCTGCATGTGGCCCACTGGTCTCCAGCCTGTACTATTTTTCTTTTTATTTTCTGATTTTAAAAACAAACAAAAAATTATTGTGATTTAAATGAAAGTTTACAGAAAAGTTGGGTTTTCATTCATTCATTGTTGCACATTTTCCTCCATCCCCTCCCTGCCCCTGTATTCTTCAACCACCTTTCTTTTTTTTTTATTTTTTATTTTATTAGTTTTAATGAACATTTACAGAAATTTGGGGTTTTCATTCATTCATTGTTGCACTGTTTTCTCTACGCTCCTCCCCAGTTCATCATTCTTTTTTTCCCCCCCTTGAAAGTCTGTTTTAATTGTCCCATTGCCACAGTGCTTGTCAAAAGCCAGTTCTGATTAATCTCCTTTGTCAGTGTGTCCTTTGCCATTCCCTATTACTCCTCCCTGAGGGAGACTTTACCCTGATTCATAAGGAAAAGGGGATGGCATATTCTCTTAGCTACTTCCTGCTGAAAAGGGACGCTGTAGGTTTCAGGGTGAAGATCTTCTCTCACTACTCT